AAACTAGTTTAAAACGTCATTAAGTTCGAGGCCGCCGCCTATATATTTATGTAATAGCATAGACTAGCCAAGTTTTATCCATGGCAATAGTTAGTTTTCACGCAATAAATACATTGGCATAAAAAATATATACACTATAATGTAAAATATATTGACATTTTCTATGGGTTTGTATATTTAGATAAAATTTTAGTGCGCTGATGTCGACTAATGCGCGATTTTCTTTTATTTAAGTGTAAATGCCACAGTGTGATTTTTACTCTTCGTGTAAAGCACCCGAGAACAAGAAATATCTTAATTATATAGATTTTAAATAGTTTTTTTTTACTTTCTCCCCCTATATAGTATATGGAGAAAGTATTGTTTTCGTCAAAATTTCCGAGTTTGAGTTTTGAGTGGACATATCAATTTTTGGCCCCCCTGAGCCCAAAAAATTGGTTTTCGAAGTGATGTATGTGTGTGTGTCTGTATGTGTGGATGTGGACAGAGCTACAGACCACGCCTGTGGTCCGATTTTGATGAAATTTGGCATGTAGGTACTAATCCACGGTATCTCCAGGTGTTTTTTTAATTTTTAAAATTTTTATTTTTTTATGGGAATTTTCCTATAAAACCCCATAAACTAAAGGAAAAATCGGATTTTCTCGAAAATGACCCGAACGATTTTCATAATCATTTAGTATGTTATAGTCCTTTAAATTCGAAACAAAATGTCAGAGTAGCAGCCAGCACACACAAAGACTCTATAAATTGCATTTTCTAGCTTTGTACTATATTTTCACACAACTTTAAGTAAGAAACTTACAGTTTGATCGATTAATCGACAACAACTACTGATATCCCGGTCATTTTGACAATCGTTGATCGTTGACCGTGGTACTCGGGCGGAACGCTACCAGTGGTAATGGTGTGTTATGGTTGAGAGCGGAAAGCGATTTTATGGTTGGAGGCAGAACCAAAATTTACCACAGTGCTGTCCTCCAGAATCGAAGGCTTTTGAAATGAATTGAATAAGCAATTTATCAACACTGTGTGATAATGTTTTAATTTTTTGTGTATTTTCACTATTTACATTTACGATTTTAAAGGAAAGAATTTCTATTGGAACTACGGGTTTTAAACTGTATAATGTAGTTTGTAGATAAAACACGCCCTAACTTCTTGCATTCATGGATATTGGAACATTGTAAAATATTTTACGAAGTCTATTTCAACAAACTAGAAAGTACATATATTTATTCAAGCGTGCTAGAGTTTAATAAATGGAATCATTGACTTCAGGTACCGATAGTGGATTTCTCATCGTATTGCAATTTAATCCAGGTTTTTTCTTATGACCAGTTTACCTTTGAGTGTGGCGATAACCTAGTCACTTTAAGTGCGGTAATTAAAACTGAATGTTTATGTAAATTAATTTTTCTCTGTGTTTACATTTTGTCATATCAGATTACTAATTTTTCACCACACTATGATGTTTTTGGCTGTATTACATACGTTAATTGGTGGCTGAAAGTTACGTTTTGCTGGCCATGCCAGCTGTCATCGTAATTTGGGGACCGAGCAGGTTTTTACAGGCCGGGGCCGCAAAATCAGCTGTCCGCTTACTTACTTAAAGCATGAATGCATTTTAAATACACAATCAAAATCCATAGCATTGCAATAGAATTATTGTGTTATTATCACCGTTGCCTAGCAACTATTTATTTTTATTTTTCCTGATTCCTCAAATTATTTCTTCACATAACCTTAAAGTTGTAGTTGTGTTGACTATCAGTGTGCATTATTATAGTGGTGAATAGTGGTAATAGATAGTTTGGTGAAAAATAGCGTTCGTACCACGGACCGAAATGTTTTTGCAGCTCTCGATCGATTTAAGTTCTCGACTTCGTCTCGAACTTAAAAGCTATCTCGAGCCGGCAAAACCTCATTTTCGGCCCTAGGTACGAAATATACTATTAGTTAACCAATCGATCGTTCTATCTGGACTTAGGCCTAATAATGTTAACCAGGGGCCCATACACGGTCAATATTTATTGTGCAATATATTGCGCAATCTTATTGAAGAGCGACCATAAGCTCAATAATACAGTTCAATAATATTGTGCAACCTACTGTTGAGTCAAGTCGTCAGTTTTGAGAAGATGCATTTTGGCAGACTGAAAGGATATTGTTCAATATCACCCATACACGATTCAATATATTATTAGTAAGATTGCGCAATATTTTTAAAAAAATTTTGTATTCACTGCATATATTGAACAATCTGATTTTCGGCAATAATTTTCACCGTGTATCCCTAGGACCTAGGACAAATGGAATACATTAACGCACTCAATCGCTCCGTGCAAACATACTTAAATTGTCTAAAGCTGAACCAAGGATGGCAAGTATAAGGGAGGATGTTTAATCTACGCCTTGGCTAGCTGAGAAGCCCATGGGAGGTCGGTCCCAGGACTGTTATCACCAAATAGATAACCAGTTTAAATAACCTGTTGTGTAAACAGATCGGTTGTTTTTACAGAACAACTCGCTCTCCATTCGGTTTATTCGACCTACTATTTGAATTAGAAACTAAACCGAGAAAATAACGTTTTATACAATATTTACGAGAACGGATGTGATGATTGATCAATTTCCTGCATCCCTTTTATTTGGATCTACGCTTTGCGTCATGCGTCATCTTTTTAACGCGTAAATTATAAGATGCGATATTAGTTATTTTATGTCTCCGCCCTTATATGCATATCGGGAACGATAGACATTGTAGATAAGAATAGATATTAAGTTAAATTTCTTTGAATCCTTTTTACTTAAAACTAATTTATACATCCTGCTATATTTTTTGCGCGTAAATTATGATAGAATTAAACACTTAATGTTAGCTATTTTACGTATCGCCGTTCGTTCGTAAATAGTAATTTTTATCTCTAAAATGTTATTGACAGTGGATTTGTTTGTTGTTTTTGCTCGTGCTCATTAAAGAATGGCCGTCCCTGAGTGCCGAAACGTCATGCAAATTTCATAGTGTTTGTCCGACCACATTTCATGTAGGGAGAAACGTTTAACGTTCAGACAACTAACTGTATAACTATAGTGATCTATAGTACTCGGCGATCATAATGGGTCATGGATCACCCAGGGGCCGAGACTTAAGCTCAAATTTTATAACGTCGTAAACTACATCGGCGTAATCATTAAACCGTATTTAGTTGTCGTAATAAAATACAGTAAGATTAGAAGACCTGTGATTTATTGTCGCCGCAAGCATAGCTTAGTAGTACGTTTTCTGTGCTTATGTTGGGGCCGTATATTTTTATCGGGAACCTTTAATCGTTAGCACCACCACTGTAAAATATAAAATTAATTTAATTTTCCGCTGTAATTACGAGACTATATTTTTCAAGCAGGTCGGTTGTGGCAGTAGCGCGATATACGAGAAGTGCGCGCGACGACATGATACGCTATTGTTCCGGACACTCGGACCGCGCCGCGCCGCCACGCAGAGTTGAGTTACCACAACAACCCACTCCCTGCTTTTTGTCCCGATTTTGACTGCTGGCTGGGTTTCTGGGCGATTGTTGACTTTTGATGAGTGAATCTTAGCACAGAATAAATAGTGCTCTCTTTTGTGGTCAGGGAATATGTGGTGGTCGAGAACGCATCTCTACCCGCAGAGTTGTCCAGGATATGTTTTTTTATGTGGAGCTCAGGAAATAGTCAAATCCTGAAAAAATGTATAAGTACTCTTATAAAATGTATAAGTATCTCTCTTTGTATGTCCTCTAATTTTTCACGTAGAAAATGCTAGCGCCTAACTGTGTTTCTATTTGATGTGCACACCAAACATTCCAAATGTGAATCCTGGGAAAAGTCTTGTCTTGTAGGCTGAAGGTACATGTTATACACTTAATGGCAAAAAACCAAATAACTTCTTAGCATACAAAGATTATAAAAGGTCTTGTATAGCCACTTTGTTCTAAATTTTATGAGGATTCCAAAAATATGATAATATAAGGAAGTAGATTTGCAAATAAATAAGTTATGGGCAAAAAACAGATTTCGGTACATAGCGTTTAGCTAAGAATGCATAGCCTTACCATAGCTAGGAATCTGGCTGATAATTTACATCAATATCACTACCTACTTCTTCAGGATCATCAACCAGCCCTTCAAAATCACTTAAATCTTCTTATAATGCACCACGTATATCACTACTTTTGATTTTTAACACTAAAACAATGATAAACGTAATAAAACACATCAGTCATCGGTGCGAGGTTAACCAAGCTGTTTACAAATACGCACGTCATCTGTCTGCTACAACTATGATCGGCTCGAGAAAAAAAGCGCTTAGAGACAGACCTAGGGAGAAAGCTTAGAATGTACCAAATAAAACGATACAGTACCTAACTCGATCCAGTTCAATCCGATTTTGTCAGTCATAGAGCCTTCGCCGTAAACAGTGTTTGTGAGTCGAAGCTTCGACACAAAACACTACACAAAGTGTGTTATGTGTCGAAGCTTCGACAAATGTGTTTTGTGTCGAAGCTTCGACAAATAACACTCGGAGGGTTAATTTACAATCTGTTCAACAAAAATAGAACAATAAGCAAATATGATGAATGATGAAATATGATGATAACGTGAAAAACAATTCCAGGCTTGTGCCTAGGGTCCTAGGACAAAAAAAAATAAATAAAAAAATATCTTTTAAATTTTTAAATGTGGTATAATTTATTCTCTTATTGAGGCCTGGTTAAAAATCCCTTCAGTTACTTTTAGCAATATAATAACTCTTCAACTTGGTGTTGGTTTTTCAGAGTCCATGAAGCTCTTGAACCCGTCATTCAGAAAACAAAAATTATATCTCTTAGTTGAAGAGAATTTGATCTGTACTAGAGAACTCCTGTAAAAACAAACAATGATAAAATAAGTCTTAAAGTGAAATATATTTATCTTATGAAGCATCTACTGATGAAACTGCATGTTATGTTTGACAGATCCTGCCTCGTATGAACTTCAACGTGTCTCCATGTGATGATTTCCGTCAGTATGCTTGCGGAGGTTGGCTACAGACTCACCCCCACCCTCCCCCTGATCATTCAGACTGGAGTCTACACAGACAGCTGGAGCACAATAGTGAGTTTACATCTCTTATCTTCTTTCAATTTAAGAGTATCCACTTTTAACTGTGAAAATCTTTAAACAGAGTATGATGCATGAATATTATCAAGTGTCAAACTTGAGCAATGAATCTTGCAGTAAACTTTAAAAATAGAGATGGGCCAGTTGTAGTTCTTAATTGCTCAAATATATTCATCGACACTTTGTGACTTTGTATTTGAAACAGAATATAGAATAGCCTGGGATCGTGGCAAAATTGTGATCTACTGGGTTTTTTAGTAACAGTGGCAATCTCCCACAATTGGAGCAAGATTGTGCCTTTTGGATTTTCCAAAATCGCGTAAACTTCGCAGAACTATTGCAATTACAGTACTTAAATTTCTTCTGTTTTTTGTTAGAAAAAAACGTCTAAATTTATTAAAATCCTATCAAGGAGAAATGTCACAGATTTTTTAGGCTGTGCATTTAAACTATTTCGAGTGACATATCAATTGACACTAAAAGTGAGTTGTTTGATTGACAGTCAGGGACAGACTGAGACAACTGATTGTGACTCAGCCTCACCCCACCTCTGCCAGCACCTTCGCCTGGAAGACCAAGTACTTCTATGAGAGCTGCATGGCACTGGACAACATAGAGACTGCCAAGGATGTAATGCTGTCCACCCAGATCAACTCTCTTGGTTAGTACAGTACTCCATCAGTCTTTGTTTCAAGTTCATTTTTGGTTGTTTTTTACATTAACAATTAATTAAAAAGTTGAGTTTTTACAACATTTCGGGATCTGGAATCTGATCCCACCTTCTGGTGAGAAAGTAAGTGTGATTTTCCAGTTGTGTGATTCTGTACTGTCTTGTTATGTTTTAGATTATTTTTCATTTGACAGGATCCAGATTTCAGATCTAGAAACTTAATAAAAACCTATTACTTTGTTTGCTAATGTCGATGGGAAATATCTGCAGTAGTCTCTCAAGCAACATATTCCTCGATAGATTTGTATGTATCAGGTGACAAATCTCTGAGGATGTTTAGGTCCAGTGGCATTTTAATGTAGGCATAAACCTAACTAATTTGTTTATTGTTATTATTTACTAATTTTAAACGATATAGCTATATAAAATTACCCTATTTCTAGTTTAGATAAGCGTGTGTTACTATTTATGAAATCCATCACCCAGGCTTCAGATTTCATAATGGTTGAGAAGTCTGTTCAAAAAAGTACACCCAAAAAAAAGTCCAAGTCTGATGAAAAATTTAAATACTTGGTAATTTATTTTTATTTTTACGTCTTGTTTACAGGAGGATGGAATGTATTGAGGGAGTTCCAAGTGCACAGTTTCGACTTACGAGACACTTTCACCAGACTTCAAGCTGACTTTGGTGTTCCTCTTTTCTTCAAAGTTGACGTTGTCCCTGATCCTTACAGTGAACAAGACTTTATCATTCAGGTAATACGTCTGTGTTACAGTTCTGAATTATATTTAACAGGAGTGTTTGCATGATCATATAGTTTGAAAATCTGCACTGAAGTGTAAAGGCTTTTTTACACTGAATAACTACTGTAAGCTGTTTGCGAGTTTCCGGAAATCGGGGTTTTATTATGTTACACCCTAATCTTTCTTTACCTTTTTTTATACTTAAAAAAGGCCTGAAGAAGTTTTTCATTGCAGCAAGCGAAAGGGATTTTAGCAGTATTTTAGAGAAGAGCCCTTTATTTAGAAGAACAAATGGTCCAAGTAAACAGTTGAAATAAACAAAAAGTGATGCCAATGCTACATCTACAAATAACTCCTTGAGTAAACGGCTGTTTCCCTTACTGTCTTGGCTTTTGTAAATATATCATTTGTACGGAATAAATCATATTGCAAATTGCACTCATTTTCTCCCTTGACTACACCTTGCCGTATTACGGTACATTGATTTACTCTAGCTGAGCATTGTACTTCTAAATTAAAAAGCATCACTTTTTGTAAATAAGAATATTTTTATACAAACTAGAGAACCCATGCTGCTCCGCAGCGTTAAAATAAATATCATATCCGAAAAATAATCAAATTTATGATTTTTTGATTGTGTAATACAGTATCTTAAACTTAATTGATTCAAACAATCAATAGCTCAAATTAAAGTCTTTAATTTACTAATTATTTTGAGTCTAAAACATATAAAAAACATAAACAATATACTGGAGCTATTTATTTTCAATCATTGAAAACCTTATCAAAATATTTTTTATGTTGGATGTTCACTGTTGTTTTTTATGTTTGCTTGAAAATCGTCCAGTTTGAATAACTAATACAGTAGCTTAAATGCAAGCCAGTATTTCACTGAAGGTTCTTCTAGACCAAAATATATGGGATTCTATAATTATAGGCTAAATGATGAAATACAACTTAAATTGAAGTAAGAATTAAAAAATTTATCAAATCTGTTTTTCGGTCGAGTAATACAGTAGATAAAATATATGCTGATGCTTGATGTGAAATCAATGCGTGCATACTATCAATTTGAGACACCAATCATGAAAATCGGTCGGAGGAAGAGCCAAACAAAATCCTAAAAGAAAATTGACCAAATTTAACTCCCTTAAGATATACATGGGGAGAAAATTTTGTTTACATTAAGCCGAGTGGGAATGTAAATAAATATATACCGATGCTTAATGTGAAATCTGTGCGTGCATACCTACAATTTGAGACCTCCAATAATGACAATCGGCCAGGTAGAAGTGCTAAAAAAACTATTAAAAGAAAAACCAAATTTAACTCCCATAAGAAATACATGGGGAAAAAATTTTGTTTATGTATAAGCTGAGTGGGACTGTAGACAAATATATGACGATGCTTAATGTGAAATCTGTGCGTTAATAACTTCAATTTGAGACCTCAATCATGAAAATCGGTCGGGTAGAAGAGCCAAACGAACTCGGAAAAGAAAAACCATTTTTTAAATATATATATTCTAAATATCGTGATATTTTTGTATTTTTCCGGAACATGATGTAATTCACAAGTGGCAAACATCTAAAACCTTAAAGTACATGTCAATACGAGCACAAAAATGAATATTTAAAAAATTCCCACCTGGGAGGGGGAGGGGGGTATAGCACCAGCCTCCGCTCTACAAAGGATCTACCATAAATTCACAACAGATCTTCAGATGCTTTGATGACATACTATCACAGCTGATGATGGTTTTGTTTTCAAGGTCCTGATTATTTCTACTACCTCTTTCTTGCTCCACTGCCTATTACACAAAAAATCGATTTAAACATATTAGAAACCACTTTTGTATCACCAATACTTGAACCACTTTCATCCTTGATGTTGTTGAGAATATCAGAACATGGTTTATTCAAGCCTCTATTTTCATTTATAATGCTTGGTTAACACACACTGTGATTAGCTGAATTTGAAAATTTTTGACATAATAAAATTATTAATACACCTTTAAACAAAGAGATAAATAATTTTTAATTTTAAAAATAATTGGTTGGTTACAATATTTTAAGATAAGAAAACATTGTTTTCCGTTGTATTGTTGAAACATTCAGGGAGCAATTCCTTCTCAGACATGGTAAGGATGGTTAGCATCTCATATATGGTTCAGCTATCGTCTCTGGTAGGGTGCAGCTATCGTCTCTAGTAGGGTGCAGCTATCGTCACTGGTAGGGTGCAGCTATCGTCTCTAGTAGGGTGCAGCTATCGTCACTGGTAGGGTTCAGCTATCGTCTCTAGTAGGGTGCAGCTATCGTCACTGGTAGGGTTCAGCTATGGTCTCTAGTAGGGTGCAGCTATCGTCTCTAGTAGGGTTCAGCTATGGTCTCTAGTAGGGTGCAGCTATCGTCACTGGTAGGGTGCAGCTATCGTCTCTAGTAGGGTGCAGCTATCGTCACTGGTAGGGTTCAGCTATGGTCTCTAGTAGGGTGCAGCTATCGTCACTGGTAGGGTTCAGCTATGGTCTCTAGTAGGGTTCAGCTATCGTCTCTAGTAGGGTGCAGCTATCATCACTAGTAGGATTCAGGCTATCTTCATTAATTTTGATTGTATCGAATAAAATTATTTTTACTCTTAATTTCTATTTTCACATGAATTTTGTCATCTTGGAAGTTTGTTTATAATTTTAGGGAGCAGGATCAGTAGGGGGTTCGTCTTCACTTTGGGTTTGTTTGAGAATTTTATGGATTCGTCTGTAAAATTTCAGTTCCTTTTGGACCTTATAGTACTGGCGGCGAGTAGTCTCAGCAGTTGTTAGTGCCACAGCCAAATTTGGAATAATGCGTTTGAGCCAATTCATTTTCACAGGGCAAAATAAACGTATTCAATTTAAATAATAATTTGTTCCATCCAAAGACAATTTAAGCAATGAAGTCTTACGTATCCATGGTAACGAATTCTGTTTAATAAAATGGTCCAAAAATGATGAATCTTACTATAGTTCGGTCGCTTTCTAAGCTGCCGAACTATAGCGTTTCATTTTCCTCTTCCAGGAACTGATGAGAACCTTTTCTGCGAAGGAGTGGGGGATTGTGGGAGAGCCCCTCACGTAGATTTAAGAAAATCTTTAAATTTAATAGTTTTTATAAAGTGTAAAATTAACTTTTTAATTATAAAATTAATTTTAAAATTTTTAATCTATAAAATTAATTTTTAAATTTTTAACTTTAAAACTAATTTTAAAACTTTTTATTTTAAAAATAATTTAAAAATTTTTAATTATAAAATTTAACTGTAATAACCTAACCTAACCAACCAAAATTTAAAAAAATATATAGGCCTAAGATAAAAATCAAATGAAGGGTACTAATTTAAAAAAAATAGTTCTGTTCATAAATAAAATCAAGGTTGACTTCTTATCAAGGTTTGCAGTACCTAACATACAGTATTGTTATATGGGGTACAATAAATTCAAGGGAATTTGAAAATTACACTTGTGTTAACCCTTTCAGTGCTGTGCAAACGATATATCATTGTTTTAAAAGATCTCTAAGGGATATAGAGAGGAAGGTTATTTTAACAAAAAGTAGCAAAACGGCCATTGGTGACCTGCATGTTCATAGGATACACTAACAACCACTTAGCTAAAAGATTCGCCCAATCCCATGATTTCGAGGTGTATGTCTAAACCAAGGATTATGAACACCTCACTATGCCCCAGTGATTTTAGTATATCGCTACAAACAGTATATCAGGTACAGTACATCGGTCACCAATTATTTGCCACACAGGACGGGAATCGAACCCGAGCAGACGAATGCCACTGGCCAAGCTTGATGTTAAATCCTTGAAAAACCAAATTTATCTTCTATAAGAAATACATGGGGAGCAAATTTCGTGTACGTATATGCCGAGTGGGATTATAGATAAATATATGCCGATGCTTGATGGCTAATCTGTGGCGTGGATACCTTCAATTTGAGACCTTAACCATGAATATCGGTCGGGTAGAAGAGCCAAACGAACTCGGCAAAGAGAAACCAAATTTAACTCCCATAAGAAATACATGGGGAGCAAATTTTGCTTACGTATAAAGCGAGTGATACTATAGATAATTATATGCTGATGTTGGATGGCAAATCTGTGCGTGCATACCTTCAAATTGAGACCTCAATCAAGAAAATTGGTCGGGTAGAAGAGCCAAACGTAGTCGGACAAAAACAAAGTTTTTTTAATATATAAGATTATGTTGCTCAAAGAGTAATGTTATTCAGCATATAAATTGTTTTCATTCTAACTCTTGTTAAACATTGTTACATTTTCCTAAACTACAGTTTATTGGTTATGTAAATTTCAAATTTTAAATATTTTTCAGATTTTACCCTCTGACTTGGGCATGCCACATAAGAGCTATTACTACAGGAGTTTCAACTCAAAGGTAATGTCCTTTTAGTTATTTTGGAGTGAATACTAATCACACATACAAGAGCACTTTAAATAATACCAGGACGGGCATTTTTTTCCTAGACTAGTCTCAGGGGTCTCTCTCAAACAAACTTTAAAACTATAGGAAACCAAAAACCTAATATTTTCCGAAACTTCACAATATTGTTTACTTGAAAACAAAATATTATCTTTATAATAATTATGTAGAATATAATTGCTGAGATTCATGTTCAATTCATGGTTTATGTTTGGATTTAAGGTACTTCACAGGCTGTTAAAGTTTTTCTGTAATAAAAGACCAATTCTTCTACACTTTAGTCACAGCAATTTTTAGAATCAAAATCATAATCTAATCTTAAATAACAATCCCCCTCAGAAGAACTTAGATTTTAATGAGACATGGTAATTAGTGCGTAACTGTATTGCCAAAAAAACTCGCTAAATGGCTTTTTTTGCAGCAAAACAAACGGATAAAGCTTTAAAAAATTTGAAAGAAATATCAACAGGTTGGTCAATTTAACAAATATACATTATTGTAACTTGGATTAAATGTTCCTGATTGAACCATATCTGTCATAAAATTAGGAACTACGTCAATAAAGACGATGTAATCGTAAACATTTATTTCAGATATGACTCGGCATTCACTGAGAGCGCAATTGAGTCAGGGTCTTGTTCTTCCTTTGGTTAAACTATTTAATTACATTGTCAATCAATTGTTGAATGTTTATTTATTATTTATTTTTTGCTTACTCTCGACAGCCTCTGGAGACGTATAAGCGGTACCTGAAGGACGTGGCCCAACTACTAGGTGCCACCAGCAGTGACGCGGCCACATTCAGTGAGGACATGTTTTTCTTTGAGAGACGTCTGGCCGAGGTGACCCCTGACTCGCAAGACCTGCGACCCTTCCAAGCAGCTCTCAGGATGAACGTCAGTGAGCTGAAGAATGTGGCACCTTCTGTGAGTTAACATTGGTTAACCTCAACTGTTAATAAGCATAGACAACTAACTGTGCGGCACAGTTATGTGCCTTTTATTTAAATCACCTGGGCAAGCTGAGGTGACCACAATGATAAGATTCAGGTGGCTAACTGGTCTAGAACCAGCAATGTCTTATCAGCCCACTGAGCTACTGTGTACCATCTTTGTTTTTGTAGTGTATATTGAAAATTGATGACATGGTAATACAGTAGTTAACTCAATATGAACTATTATTATCTGTGACCAAGATACCTGTGTATTTTTATTTTGAATGGAATAAAAGAAAATTAATATAAGTGTTTAAGATTACTTAGGGATTAAAGGCTATAATTTAGTCTGTATTTTTCAGCCCTGAGTTATTACTATAATATAGCAAGACAAGATGTGAAAATACTTCATGCAGCCAACTTGAGTTATCTCATTCACCGTTTTCTTAAATGCTCTTATGGTTCAGGTATATAATCACATCCAACAAATGTGGCAACTGTACAATTACTCTTTCGGAAAAGCCTTGTTGCACCTATTGCAGTAAACATGTTTGACTTTACAAGCATAGTTTGATGCAAGTTGAATGGTTTTCAATCATAGGTTTGTTGTACAGGTGCCGTTTTACGACGTGTTATTGAGGAAGTTCCCAGAAGCCAACATTGACGATCACACACAGATCTTGGTACCATTCCCTGACTATCTGCGCAACATATCCAACCTAATTTCCACAACTGACAGAACGTGAGTGAAGCAAATAAATGGTTTTGTGCTTTAGAAATTTTAATAATTTCTGAAATTGAACTTAAGAGTAAAAAAAAATCAGTTGTAGGCAGTGCAAAGTATTTTGGAACATTATGAGTAACCAAATTTAGTAATCTCTTGTTTCAGTTGTTATGTCAACTACTAATGTTATTATATGTTTGTAGAGCCCTGAACAACTATATGATGTGGAGACTGACTGATTCCTTCCTACCTTACCTCAGTGAGAAATTCAGGAACACCGTCGCTGGCTACAGGAGAGAACTGTTTGGTAACTACCTTCATCGTTCAAGCAAATCTGATGGGCTATATTATATAATCTAAAAAAAGAGCGTGTGTACAGATACATTTTTATTTCTGTCCGAGGATTTTTAATTTTTTTTTTTTTATTATGGTGTATTTGGCCACGAGAAATCGATTGGTGTTGGTCACAAGGCTTGGAAAAATCCAGTTTCCGCCCTACAGCCTTTTTAAGTACCCATGTTATTGTCAATATCTTTTTGTAGCTACAGTTAATAACACAGCTGATACAGGTAAATTTTATAGAAATCTATGTATTCATAAAGTTGTATTATAGCTATTTACCTTACAAGTGTAGTAAGAGCGTTTTTACATCACGCAGGTGAATGTTCAAAATTCTTCAAAACATAACAATAAAATTCAAGCGCACAGCTGATTTCTAGCGTTGAGCGTCGTTGGCTCCATAGAGGTATATTTTTTAAGTTAAGCACTCAATGTTATTTAAATGGGTTTCATTACATCACCGAGTGAGTTTTTTCAACTTTACATCACTCGAGAAGTAACGAAGTTATATACATCACGCTTGGGATAGGGAAGTTTAACATGGCGGGTTAGGTAAAAATGTTTTCTTAGTATCATCTAAAATTTGTTCATATTGATTAAAGTACATAATAAATATCTTTAATTTAGCTAAATAATTGCTCTAATTAATTTATTCAATCCGAGCAAAGCTCAGTCTCCTGGTACTAATTATATGAAAACCATGTGGATATTCTTGAAACAACTCCAAAAAGATAAAAAAAATATAGAGGATATTATTCTTTTTAAATTTGTAAAACCTAATAGGCCTACTATAGGTTCACTTATTGCTTTATAACATCTACATATTTTGATATTTGTTGTATGATGATGGCTGTATGAAATAAATGTTGTAAAAAACCTCATAAGCAAGTTCCAATTACTACAATTACAGTGGACAAATCTGTCCCATTCAAGCAGGTTTCTAATGAGTTGCGTCTATTGTCAGGCTGTTCACTATGTTTTCCTTATGCTTACTTTGTGCTCGTCTACTTTTTCAAATGAGCCGTATATTTTATCAACAGGAGAACATCAACAACTACCAAGGTGGGAGATGTGCATTAAGACAATGCAGAAGTTCATGGGTTTTGGACTCGCTGTCCTCTTACAAAACCACGCCGAAGACTTCCAAAAAGTTACTCTAGTTGTAAGTTTAAATGTGTTTTCCCAGATTTTCATGTTCTGTCTCCTTGATTTTGGTAGTTTTTTTCTTTATAGGGTACTCAGCCAGAGCCAATAGCAAAAACTTTTATTATTGAAGATTAAATTGCCTAGACTATTTGTGGTGATTTGTTAGCCATTTGCCTTAAACTCAGTAGCTGATTTTGTTTAACTCAAATTAAATTCTGTTGCTCCTAGTCGGAGCAAAGAGCCTTGATCAAGCTCGGTTTCCAGCTAGGGCTCCAGCTCCATTTGTCTTTGGGCTGTCAATTAATAATACTACAAAAGGCCGATGCTGTCAACAAAACCAGAGTTTATACCATTCCCTAAAAGAAAAACATAAAAAGCTCCAAAAGTGTAACCCACAAAAAAAGGGTCTGGGCTGTTTTCTAACATTTTTTGAACGAAAATATTGTATGTATTAGTTGTAATTGAAAAAATGTATTAATCTGTGACAACTTGTTGTGTGAATCAGGTGGAGGAAATTTTCCGAGACGTGATGAGAGAGGTGAAGAGGTCTGTACGTAACGCAGGCTGGCTGCCTCAGGAACTACAGGAACATATGAACAGCAAGGTGATATATACAGTTTGATTATACTGAAGTAGACATTCTGTCTGTCTGAACCAGATGTAGTCAAATAGAACATTGCTGAATGAGCGACTCACAATGTGTGCTGCTGTCAACATTCTATTTCCTCCTTTAGTTTTTGGTCCTGTCATTTGATGTAACATAAAATAAATTTTTAATTCACAATAAGTTATCCTTTTTAGTTAAAATTAGTTAAAAGTTACATCATTACACAGTGGTTCAATTATTCAAGAATATCCATTTCCATTATAAAATTGGCAACAAATGCAACATAGGAATTACATTTCTGCATCCATCCATAGTAGAATGTCTAATGTACAATATTTTCAAACAATACAGTTAAGGGAACTCCTAATCTAGCACATCGATGTTTTCACAGCTGATGTCAATGGTGGTGGAAGTAGGATTGCCGACCGGAGGTACATTTTTGTCCGACACCAACTTGGAAGAAGTTTACCGACAGTTGTTTGTCATCAATAGGGATTTCTTCCAGAACGTCAAATATGGGATAGCTTATCTTCAGAAGCAGCAGCAACTCAGATTGAGCAAGTTTGATGGCATATACAGGTAGATTAAGCCTTCAAACAAATACTTTAATGTTCATTGATTGTGCTGATGGCATAATGTAATTTTTTGTCATATTTGCATTATTTCAAAATTTTACTGTTTTACCGACATGTTAGAATTATTATAAAGAATTTTGTAAAGATATCAGTCTTAGAATGGGAACGATTTCAATCTGATATTAGAAGTATCCAAATTCCCAAACACTCAAAAATTAGTAAATCTCACTGCAGTATTTTCAACCACAAAATGTTTGAGTTTGGGATTACCTATTCTTCCAGTCTGACTACCTGGAAGTTGTTAAAAAATAATACTATTTTGTACTGTATAGACTCCTGACATTTAAAGAAATTACTGTACAATTCTCTATTTTGTTCCTGGGTTTGAAAGTTGAGACTTACTAAATTAGGGTTTGGATTGTTTAGACTTTGTCCTAAAGAAAAATAGAAAATCCTAAGAAAAATTGAATTATTGATTTAAATCAGTGTACAATTATTTTTTTTAACATTGATACCTGTGTTTCTTTAATTACATTGCTATTAATAACGAGATAATATTTTGAATACAAATCTGTTACATACAGTTAAGTTCATAAGTTATAGCTAGTTTGATTAACAAGTATCAAAAATACTGTCACCATTCTTTTCTTATACATTGACTGTCGACTATGAGTCAAAATTATATTTGAACTAATTTTTTTTCCTTTTCTGCTGACATAACCAGACAAGTAATGGTAAGTTTCTAACATTAAACGTCTGCTAGCATTTAAATATTTTGGGTTTGGATGTAGCAAATTATTTTACTTTCTTTTGTATCTTATGGAATTTGAAGTTTAATCATAGTTTTTTGTAAAAATACTAAAATAATCAAAAGGATTTTACTGTTTTAATGTCCTCAAGATGTTTTTTTTCCTGTGCACATCTACATTCACATTCCTATCAAAAATGACTTTTCTATTCTATGATTGGTTAATAATTTTGATTTGTATGATGTTGCTTTCCCCTGATTGTATTCTGCTTTAAAAGTCAGTTGTTTTAAATGTATGTCTGAAATCTCAGTAATCGTGAGAAGTTTGGGTTTTATTTGTGTGGCGAGTGAGTGTGTACAATGCATTATTTTGAGAATTTGTGAAACCTGAACTAAAATCTAGCGGTAACTACAGTATATCTTCTCTATCCTCACCATTCCTTTAATTCTCCCTGCATATACCATTTTGATAGTATACCACCAAAAATAGTCAAACAAATACAGAAGCAGTGTTGGTTTGATATTTTTTTACAACAGTGGTTTAATACTGCTAAATATTATCTTTTAGAACATTGCTACACTCGTACTGTATTCTCCTTCAAATAGTTATGTTTCTCTCATTATGTAATATTAATATGTTATGTAATATTAATATTATAGATGGGTTGATGGGTAACTTGACAGATCAGTCAGTAAGATGACAGATTATGAAAGAAGGTGGCAATGGCTTTGGTTTGTGTCCCAGTACCTCCACTAAGTTTTATCAGTGCAGCTCATTCTTTTACTGTAACTGCTCACTCGCTGATCAGCTTGATGCCCTATACATACTGGCCTTGCGCTTGATGCCTATGTGAAAGGAAAAGTTCAAGAATAAAAAAGGCCCCCAACCACTTTGGGTTTTTACCATTTTATCAAATTGAGATCAGTGGCGGTTCTAGGACCTTGTCAAGGGGGGGGGCTACCGGGGGGCTTATTTGGAATTTTCAAAGCCGTTTGGTGACTTTCTTAAGCCATTTAACACACAAAACCGTGCCCAATTTTCCATAAACTCCCATTTCACCTGTTGTTTGTCATAAACAAATAGACATTTTAAAAATTAAACTATGACGATTGCATTAATGAATTTCAAAACACACTGTATCCTCCTAAAAGCCGTTGGGTGACTTACTACAGTCAGTTTTAACGTCTAGAACTGTGTGCAAAACCTCCCATTTCCCCACTTATTTGTCATGAATTAGTAGACATTTTTAAAACTAACTATGACGATTGCATAAATCTCAAAACATATTGTAGGCTACGGCCGTATCCTCATAAAAGCTGTTTACTGACTTTCTAAAGCCATTATTTATGTCTATATCACTGTGTCCAACTGTCCAAAAACCTCCCATTTCACCTGATATTTGTCTTTGTCATGAGCAAGTAGACATTTACAAAATCAAACTATGGCGAACTTGCATTCATGAATTTCAAAACATAGGCCTACTGTAGACTACGAAACCATGTCTCCTAAAAGCCGTTTGGTGACTTTAAAAGCCATTTCTAATGGCTAGAACTGTGCCCAATTGTCCTAAAACCTTCCATTTCAACTGTTATATGTCATGTAAGCAAGTAGACACGTTTTTAACCTTACATTTTTCTCCGTTTCATAGATCTGTCACAATATGTCGAATTCAGTAATAGAATTGACTATAAAAACTTTAACACTAGTGTTTATTTAGTCAATGGTAATAGGCTACTGGTGCTACCGCTGATTTCTGATTGATGCCTGTGTAAAGTTAGTGGCTAGCAGACAATTTGACAACTAACTATTTAGGAAATCAGCTGTTTCTCAGTCCTCGCTCGTGCACTCGTCGCTCGCCTTTGCCCTATCATGTCAACAGCTGACTGCTGTAAAAATTGGATGATGCGTACAACTTCCCATAGCCGTAATATTGTTTTATTCGTTGTGCTATTGTCCACAAAGTTTATCTATGTGGAACTTAATACTTCTCCTGCCATCGCTTATTAAGTTTAACAAAAACTACATCGATGTCTGTTTTATGACATTGCGTGTTTTAAGGACGAGATGTACGTTTAAATCTATTTTTCCAGGGTCCAAGGGGGGGGCTTTAGCCTCTGTAGCCCCCCCCCCCCTTGGAACCGCCACTGATTGAGATTACCACTTGGATGTGTTGAATGTGTTCACGATTTAGATGTTTATAAGGTGTTATGTTTGTCTCAAGGTGGGTAGACGCAGCGTCCAGCCATGATCTAAGAGTCCGCTACGTCGCAGCTGCTAACAAGGTGGTTGTGCCCCAGGCTCTATTGAGAGAACCTTACTTTCATCCTGACTACCCGTTGTGAGTAATATGCAATTCTTTGATAAAATAAATTTAAACTTGTTTTTCAAACACCAATTAAAACAAAAACTGGATTTATAGTGTGTAGTCTATGAAAAATTCCATAATTTGAATGTTATGTTTTAGTAAAGCTTAGTAATCTTTTTTGAAATGTCTTTCTTTAGGGGAAACAAAGACATAAACTATCGCGGTTGACGATTGCGAGCCTCAGATTTTCAATCGAGCCTCAAGCCTACTCAAAAACTTTAAGTTACTCAATTTTCTGACTTGATATCTGATCACATAAGCTTTTATGAGGCATTGGTCAGCTATAAAATATGATTTTTTTATTTATAGTAGAGTTACCGGTACCGGTACTTTACTTATTTTCTGTTGACATTAATATTTGCAATAGACAGCTCAACCTTAAGTATTTGATGTTGTATGGTTAGTTATTGAAATCATAAAATGCTCCCTCATTTACTATTTGAGTTTAGAAATCAATTTTATGTTTATTTTATAGTTAGCTACATAACTTCTTTATATAAAATTCTTTTTCTGATTCTGCCTCATATTGCCAACTAAGATTGAATTGAAACTCATCTGGGCGGATTTTAACCCAGATAGTGATGAGTGTGAGATGTGTTCGTGGCTAAGACCAGTTGTTAATTTAGCCAGGATCATTTATTAAACGCCCAATGATCTGCAATGACTGCTAGGCCCAGTTACAAACCATCAAATAGCCAAGGCCTACCGACTTTTCTCATGATTGAACTGGTAACCTTCTGATTATAAGGCAAGCATTATAAATAATGACTCAGTCACCCAGTTTAACTATCCACTATCTATTGCTTTATTTTATTAGTAGCCTACATATTTTATTTTCTTATAAATTGTTTAGTTTAAAGGGTCTTCTTCATTTATTTAACAACTAAACTTACTGCAGAGCCGTACTGTTTGGTGGACTGGGCGTGGAGATAAGTTCTGCAGTGGTAGAAGCCATTACTCCGTGGAACGTGCTGTATGCAGACGACGGAACGTTGATTGACAGAATGCACCCAGCTGTCGACCAATCAGGTCGCTCGTTTTTCCACCCAACCTCATGCCTCCGGCAGTGGTGGGGGAAGGAAGGGTTTGCGTCGTCTCAAGCATCCGAGATGGCCACTTACAACGCTCTCATCAAACTATCTGGAGTCAACATTGCTCTAAAGGTAAGGAGTGTGTATGGTCAGTGTTAACCTGAAAGAGAAAATCAGTTTGTATTAATTGAAATCTAATATATATATATATATCTATTAACTTATTAAACTATACAGAGTAATTGGGAATTGCTTGAACATCTACTTGTGGTAATCGTTGAATTCTATTAAGCTTCTAGTTTAAGAGGGGCTATTACAAAATTTTTGACGAAAGAAAAAAAATATAATCTTCCATCAAAATTAAAAAATGAAATAGTAATAAAAGTGTTAAAAGGATCATGTAAAATAATTCAAAATCATTTATATGGACAACATTATTAATCTAAATTACTTATTATTTATATCATAAATTTAAGTTTATTGTTACTGTGTCTAATAGGCAAAGTTTATTATAATAATCAGTTTTCAAAATAAATAATGGCCGAATCAGTGCCATCCTTTTGTCTACAGATGACATCTTCTACTTAAGATCGCCACAATTAAAATTGAAAAAGTACATTGGTGAACACACAAACCTGCTGATTTTTCACATAAAAAACATAACAGATCAGCATGAAAATATCTTAAAGTTCAGACAATTTATTTGTTCCTTGGTTAAAACTTAAAACATTTACAAAAGATTATTATAATTGGGGATGTAAAAAAAAACAAAAAAAAACAAGTAATTGATAAATTCACGATAAAACAAAAACTCAATAAAATGTAAACAAAAAATCAGCTGATTTTGTCAGACGCAAACCTTGCAGGATCTATTTTTTATATATAATATGTGAAGCCGTTTTTTGTAAACACTACTCCTCCCTTATTTGTGGACCAATTTCAACGTTTGATGGGTCAAAAGCAAAAGATTCGTCTCAATTTGTAGTTTTGCAATAAGGTTTTAGAATTTAAATCCTCACTACAGGCTAATCGACTCCTGATTTTAATGCATAGATTCAGGTTTTAGCGAATTATCGTTGGTTTCATGGTAAGACCTTGGCTGGGGACCAATTTACTTTTTCATTTTGAGGTCCCCAGAAGCCAAAAACACAATTTGTTCACATTCATATACAGGGTTAGTAAAAAGTGTGGAGACCCCCTGTTATTTTTTTAACAGCCCATACTAGAAAAACTAAACTCAGCACACCTTTATGGCATGTTATGAAGTACTTTTTGGGCATAACCGTCACTTGGTGTACATCCCCAAAATGGGGGATTTTGGGGGAAACTCAAAAATTTCAAATACAAAGACCTATCGAGTGACCCCTCATTTTGGAGGTCCTGGTAAAAGAAAACCAAAAACGCAAACTAGAGGTCTTTATCTCAATCCAGTAAAAAATGGCAGCCAATTGAAATTCTCAGAAGTTGAATTTAACTTGCGGCTTTCCAAGTCTGGAGACCCCCTGTAAATTTTGTAGCGGCTCACACTAGGAAAAGTAAACTCTACACACCTTTTTGGCATGTTATGAAGTACTTTTTAAGCCTAATAGCCACTTGCTTACCAAACCCAAAATGGGGGATTTTGGGGGAAACTCAAAAGTTTTAAATTAAAAGCCCCATCAAGTGACCCCTCATTTTGAAGGTCCTGGTAAAAGAAAACAAACAACACAAACTAGAGGTTTCTATCTCAATCCAGTAAAAAATGGAAGCTGATTGAAATCTTTAGAAATCAGAAATAACTTGCAATTTTATATTCAATTGGCTGCCATATTTTACTGTGTTAAGATAGAGACCTATAGTTTGCGTTGTTAGTTTTCTTTTATTATGACATTCAAAATGAGGGGTCACTCAATGGGGCTTATCATTAAAATTTTTGAGTTTCCCCAAAAATCCCCCATTTTGGGTTTGGGAACTTATGAGAATTTCAATTGGCTGCCATTTTGTACTGAACAGATATAGAGACCTCTAGTTTGCGTTGTTGGTTTTCTTTTACCAGGACCTTCAAAATAAGGGGTCACTCGATGGGTCTTTGCGTTTGAAATTTTTTAGTTTCCCCCTAAATCCCCCATTTTGGGGATGAACACCAAGTGGCGGTTATGCCCAAAAAGTACTTCACTAAACAAAACTCAGCACACCATTATGGCATGTTATGAAGTACTTTTTGGTAGGGGCCTGCGGGTCAGACTTTTTTGGTTCGGGTCGGGTCGGGTCGGGCCAATAATTTTGGTCCTCGGGTTTCGGGCCAAAATCGGGTCGGGCCAAAAATTATTAATTACCGGATTTTTTTGATTTTTTAACTCCTATCTGTGTTTATAATATTACTTGAAAATAACATATGGAAAAAGATTGTATTTATGTATATTATTTCATGTTCATAACTTATTTACATAGCTTAGGAGTTGCCTCAACTGCAAGAAAGAAGAAAATAATTTTTTTTATCAAGCCATTCTTTCCCATTTTCATAACTGTTGAAATATCTAAACAGCTATATTACAACAAGTTTGTAATGGAACTTAATATAAATGGATCATAAACAAATCAATTAACCTTATCACAAGTTTAGGGCCTGTGGCTTCAAGACTGCAAGCAAGAAGAAAATAAAAATTCTATGTTTCCACCATGCAATATGAATCATTCATTCCCTGCCTCCTAACCTCCTCTCACACTTACAATAGCATTATTAGTTACATCATCATAAATAAAGAATTATCTATTATTGGCATTACTAGGCCTACAGCTTTACATAGGAATTATTTTTTATAGGGCCTAAAATAGTAATAGACTAAGCAACATGACAAGTGGAGAACTCATTGAAGAAAAGATATTGTGTAAACTAATTTACTATAAAACTCTAAAACAATAAATAACACACATACATTGTTTATGGTATAGTTATAGTAAAGACTGTAAAAATTGCATATCATGTCATACACAGTTATAGATACACAGTTATAGGTATTGCAAGAGATTAAAATCCTAAAACAACTGATTTTAGCTAATAAATGAAAAGAATTAAAAATCCATAAACTCAAGTCAAACAATATCACAACTATTAGGTACCCGAAAAGGAACTCTTAATATATAGAAAATTATATTAAATCAAGAGAAAAGAAAGTTAAATGCTAATTTGGCAACATAAGCAGACAGCAGAGACATTATGCCCTAATTAGCAACACAACTCAATGTTTTTATACTGTAAGTCAATGTTTTTGAAACTGTAGGGTCTTTTTCTCGGAAGGAAGGGTAGTAGAATGTAAACAAAAAACCATGAATCACTCTCACAGCCGGGCCCAAGGTTACAGACCCTCCCCCTCCCCTCCCCTCCCATCTTACACAACCCGGGGACACTCAAGGTCATAGACCCTCCCCCTCCCCCGCCCCTATTACACCACCTGGTTGTTCCAATTGCTGACAAAATACAAGTAACAAAACTAGGAAGTAGAGACAAAAAGATATATTTTCTTTATTCAAAAATATAAAACTGTTACAGATAATTTCCAAAGAAATTAATTCATGGTAGTTTGTGTCTTGTAAATATTGTATTGGATCTTAGAAATATCTTTTTTGAAACTCAATCTAACTTAGGAAAAAAATAATTTTACTGATGAAAACTTTCATAAAATTATAAAATATTTAGGCCTAACCTCTTTGTAGACTTGTTGATACTTGATACTTAAAAAAAAAAATTAAATGGTGACCATAAAATGCCGAACCAGACGATCAGAAATGTTGTTTTGTTTTGTTACTGAATGACAAAAAGGACAATAGGAAAATAAAAGAACAAGATACAGATCTGCACACTATATCAGATATTTCTTTTGTTTATAATTTATTATGTAAATAAAATACTAAAATATAATTTAAACTAGGTATGGAATAAACAATAAATAATTAAACTGGTACCTCTGGATAAATAGTCTTTCTTTTGACTTCGTTTTCTTTGCACTGTTGCGTCACGGCTTTTGTTTTGTCAGTAGACGACTGGCTCTGGCTAGTGACAGTAAGGCAATAATTGCTCTGTTGTGTCTTTGTTCTTAAACGAGAGCAAACTTAATATTTAATTCTAATTTTAACATTTTAATTCCTCTGTAATAATGTATATAAGAGTGTTTCTTTGAAAATTACTTATTATAACTTTAAAAATAGCCTAATAGTAATAATTATTTTTTTTGGCCCGACCGATCTTGGCCTGAACAAATCTCTGACCCGACCCGGTCTCTCGGGCCTTCCGCTGGCCCGACCCGACCCGAAAAAATCGGGGACCCGCAGACCCCTACTTTTTGGGCATAACCGCCACTTGGTGTTCATCCCCAAAATGGGGGATTTAGGGGGAAACTAAAAAATTTCAAACGCAAAGACCCATCGAGTGACCCCTTATTTTGAAGGTCCTGGTAAAAGAAAACCAACAACGCAAACTAGAGGATATCTGTTCAGTACAAAATGGCAGCCAATTGAAATTCTCATAAGTTCCCAAACCCAAAATGGGGGATTTTTGGGGAAACTCAAAAATTTTAAATGATAAGCCCCATTGAGTGACCCCTCATTTTGAATGTCATAATAAAAGAAAACTAACAACGCAAACTATAGGTCTCTATCTTAACACAGTAAAATATGGCAGCCAATTGAATATAAAATTGCAAGTTATTTCTGATTTCTAAAGATTTCAATCAGCTTCCATTTTTTACTGGATTGAGATAGAAACCTCTAGTTTGTGTTGTTTGTTTTCTTTTACCAGGACCTTCAAAATGAGGGGTCACTTGATAGGGCTTTTAATTTAAAACTGTTGAGTTTCCCCCAAAATCCCCCATTTTGGGTTTGGTAAGCAAGTGGCTATTAGGCTTAAAAAGTACTTCATAACATGCCAAAAAGGTGTGTAGAGTTTAGTTTTCCTAGTGTGAGCCGCTACAAAATTTACAGGGGGTCTCCAGACTTGGAAAGCCGCAAGTTAAATTCAACTTCTGAGAATTTCAATTGGCTGCCATTTTTTATTGGATTGAGATAAAGACCTCTAGTTTGCGTTTTTGGTTTTCTTTTACCAGGACCTCCAAAATGAGGGGTCACTCGATAGGTCTTTGTATTTGAAATTTTTGAGT